CTCAACAATTACTACAACTCTATCATGAAAATATTTTCATAACTCAATAGAAATTGTTTTAAACCATCATTATGTTGAAATAGTTTCAAAGTAGATCTGAAACAGTTATATAAACAGTATAAACTTTATTAACCTAACAAATACGTTGTTATTGACATATATTGACAGCATTTCAATATGTCTATTCTATGATGACAACTTTTTACAGTTTCACAACTCGTTTCAGCGTTTTCAAACACTGACTGATAACGAGTACATTCCAATGTAGAAGTCTGAGTGTTTATGCTTAAAAATTCTGATTCTCTGATGTCAGCTGATAGAGTTCATTGTTTTGAGTTCTAGATGTATGAACAACTGTTCTTGCTTTGCTAATAGTCTGCATCAGTTCCTCCTTGTTTAACAAATGATGCTATCCAGCTATGCAAAAGTTTGCATTCCGAATGACAGAAATAAATTCATCGTTTGCTTTATAAATCCAAAAATCTTAACTGCGTATTGAAGCCTTTTTAGGGTTACTGTCGGTCCCAAGCCCGGATAGAGGAGGAAGGGGCTAGGCATCATCCTGAAGAAATTCAACTCAGGAAAGAAACTCTAACCAGAAAAATAATTCTCTGGTAGGCAGCCTATGCTCTATTAAGGGGTACCAGGTGTAAGTGAACATGTCTGAGAAGCTTGAATTTTGACAGTGGTTAACTAAGTTCTTTGTACAATTAACAACATGGACGTTAAGAGTAGAAGATGTTCGTAGACTACTAGTATTCGATCATAGATGTCTAAGAAGCATTGCTCATATATCGTGGGACAACCGAGTAAGCAATGCTGTCGTTAGGAAACGAGTACTAGGTAAGGATGGCAGATCAATAGATGAAGTGATGAAATTTCGGCAGTTGAGGTGGTTGGGACATGTGATATGTATGCCTAACTACCAACTACCTCGACGAGCTATGTTTTGTGGTGTAGGTGTAGGTTGGAAGAAAGCTACGGGCGGCCAAACCGAAACATGACAGAAATCCATGAAGTCACTGACAAGTGGACTGAGTCATGTTGGTAGATGTAGACTGTGTGGTTGGGGTCCGTGAGACTAAAGTCACCAATGGTTAGAGACTTTGAACGACATGGCTCGCTCGAAATCGTTCGCAATGGCGCAAGTGCATCCATTTGTTACGCTCTCTCAAATCCGAATCTTCTGAATTCATCAGCACCTCTACCTTTGTCTTTCTAACCTTATCTCACTGATTTATACTTCTTGAATAATATCTTCAAACCCTAGTCTTCTTCATTACCACTAATACCTCTACTATCTCTGTTCCTATGGGATTTGATTTGACATTTGCGTCTCTGTGCTATTGTGGTATAGCAACCTGAACTTATGTACATGCGTACGAAGTTCTACGTTGCAACTGACTGACTTGTACGATTAACTCAATCATAAACTCCATACGTTAGTCAGTTTAAGTTAAATTATTGATTTTTTTAAGTTTGAGAAGAAATACAAATTAGTTTATCGATTAGAATTCGGTATTTTAATTCAATCAAAATTCAAACTAATCGATTTCCATGAAATCAATGTTGTTTTTCAAGTGATGACGCGAATCAATCTGTTTGCCATGATATTTAATTTTGTTAACTTTGGTTGAAATTAATTTTGTGCTGTGTGTAAGATTGATTCGTTAATAACAGTGTGCATTCCCCGAGGACGACATGGCCATCCAATGCTTCCAAGTTTCTAATGGTTGAGGGGTCTAACATTGATCGATTTCGTGATTTTTCATGAAACTCAACTCAGCAACTCTAAGACTCAGTATAATGAAATAGAACCACTATTACTACTACAGACAGAGGATTGATTACACACATTTTTTCAAGGTGTCGTCAGTTTATGTTGTCCTTTTCTTGAGGTTATTACGACAAATGATTTGTGTGTACTGTAAACAGTTTACCGTTGTCGACCTCCGAGATTTTTTCACAAAACGGGATTAGTTTGTAGCGGAGTGTCAACCAGAAGTTATAACTGAAGAGAAGAGGATGGGATTTGAATAGATCTCGCGAATAAATCGTATTGTGAAGACCAGAACATATGTGAAAGAGCACAGCTACTCAGTGAGTCATTCAACTACAGCGTGGAACCTGGCACGTACGTACATACATCAGTTCAAGTTCCCACACTATATTAGTACAAAGAGGAATGGATCTGTCAGTTGTAGCAGTATCAGTGATAGTCGACAAGATTAGGGATTGAAGATATGATGCGAGGAGCGTTAATCCAGTGAAATAAGTTTCAGAGGTTTGAACAGGTCGTCACAGCTAATAATCTGTTTGTTTTTCAATTAGAATTGTAAAAATAAGGTATACATAATTTTTTTCTAATAAACTGTATCTTTTGATGGAGATGCCTTGGAAGACGTAAAAACCTTTATATATTTGGGTAGTATCACTGAAGAGCAAGACGGATCTGATGCGGATGTAAAGGCGTGGATTGGCAAAGCAAGCACTACATTTCTACGATTGAAGAACATCGGTAACTCAAAACCACGACCAACCTACACCAAAGTTACAATTTTCAATACAAATGTTAATACACTTCTACTTTAAGAGGTAGAAACTTGGAGAAATACGGAATCAATCACCCGGAAGATAAAAGTGTTCAGTAACGGTTGTCTACGCAGAATACTACTGATTCGTTGGCTAGACACAATCACCAACAACCTACTGTGGGAGAAGACAAACTAGATTCTAGTGAAGGAGGAAATCAGGATGAAGCGCTGGAGCTGGTGGATAGGACACACAGTTTGGAGAGCACCCAACTGTGTCACAAGACATGCCCTCACGTGGAACTCTTAAGCTCAAAGGAAAGGAGGAAGACCGAAAAACAACTTACATCGAGAAATGTAGACAAACGTGAGAAGAATGAACAGTTATTGGACAGAACTGGAAAGGAAGGCTCAAATTCGTGTAGGTTGGAGAATGTTGGTTGGAGGCCTATTCTCGATTGGGGGTAGTAAGAGTAAGTAAGTAAGTAAGTAATTTATCCGATAAGTTATAAATGCACTTCATTTAGAACTCTGTTCAAGTCGAATTCACAAAGTATGCTTACGGGAAAAGACTGATGAGCAATCAGTCACTTTTGAAAAGTGTCTAACGGGTAGTAATGAGTATTCACGAAAGTTTATCAATAAATATGGGAAGATAAGAATGAAAGTTACGGGGTGTTACAGTAGAGAAAAAGTCTGTTTTCATACTACTGGGATTCAAAGGTGATGAACTAACTATATGAAAAAAATTGATTCTAAAATCAGAGATGCTTTGGAAAACGACTTATTCAGCAGTAACACTGGTTTCAATCTATTGTTGAACAGAGTGCTCACAGTCGATTAAATACAACGTAGAACTTCGTACGTACATACATCACAGTTCAAGTTACCACACCACATTAACACAGAGATTGAATTGTCGGTTATAGAAAATAATTTTAGGGATTGAAAATACTATTCGAGAAATAAAATCCAGAGAAATATATTTAAAAGTAGGTGTAAAAGGTCGTGAGATAAGACAAAGAATGGATGTATCTGCACCGTTAAAAACGACTTTGTACCATGTCATTCAGAGTCTCTAACCATCGGTTACGTTTGCTTCGTGGTCCACAACCAAGTAGTGTACGCCTATTAATATGGTTCAGTTCAATTGTCTAAGAATTTATGGATTGGTGCCATCCCTAAAAATCCAAAGGATTAACCTACCAGAACTTGCTGCCCTTTCTCGCTTCACATTTCGAATTGCCTTTTCAACCTCATTAACTGTTAGACAACTTGCCATCCCGGTTGACTGGAAATAGTGAGTAAACTGAAGTGTATCTAAAGACCAGTTGAACTGATCCCTAAAGTGTTCTGTCCGTCGATTCACTCCCCTGGATTGAGAATCGATATTAATCCCATTCTCTCCCAAGATAGCATCACTAACAGTAGAATTCTTAATACCGGTTTCAAGCTGAAAAGCCTGATTTGTAGTCTACCGCTTTGTATGGACACTACCTTCTACATCTTACTTGTGATCATTGTGTAGGCTTCTAATCAGATTGCGCTTAAGTTGACTCCGCTCTTCATCATGTTCAGAGCCAGACGGAATGAGTTTCCGAGCAGATACTAATAAGATCCACGGCTTCTGGTTAACCATTATGGTTTCAATAGAGAAATGAGAAGACATATTTTGTGAGATAGTGGTACCATTTCGTGCTTTCTCGTCAGTCACATACAAGCAACATGTTATTTGTGTAAATATAGTTTTGAAGATAAGGTCAAAATTTCTTATTTAGCATGACATTCACTCACTAGAACCATGGTAAACAAAGGTCAACATACAGTTGTTTTTGAACACATAAAGTTGGACTTTTCCGACCAATCAAGATAGCTTCAAGTAGTTTCAGTGTGTGTGGGTTTTGATGACATGTCACAACTTTAAAGGCTGATTTTGGGTCAATTTGATGACCACTCATCATTAGATGTTTTGCAATGGACGAGGCTGGGTTTCTTGATCGATTTTGAGATGATGGGCTAGGTTGATGAATCATGGATTTGATTAACCATTTTGGAATATGTTCCCCTATCCTGTCTTCCAATCGGCGATCTGTCCTCCCTAAGTAACTTTCTCCACAGTTACATGTGAATTGGTAAATACAGTGGGATTTGGACTGAATCGGTCTTGGAGACTTGATTGGGGTAACAGTAGTATGCTTGACCTGCTCTGCGTGCTTGTGGTCTGCTGGTCCGCGTTGTGGTGTGTCAAAACATAAACGTATTCAACACTTCATGTTCACCTTAAACCGTCAGACAATAATTTAGTAACGATTGTTTGGACAAGCAAATTACGACGAAGTCTAGGAACACATTGGATATCGATAGTCACGAAACTAGTGCACCCTTGCACACCATATGCTCATCCTTAAAACATTCAAAAGTGGATTATTGTTGCGTTTTTTTGAAACAAACAAATCAAATCAAACTTACATATTCTTCTGGTAACGATTTCATTAAACCACTTGATGATTCATCTCTTCGTCCTCCTGTTGATGTTACTGATGCAACGGATACTGCCGACACTGTTGATGCTCTTGCTCCTGATGCTGTCTTGTCAGCATTACTACCACCAACACTACCTTCTTGAATAATTGAATTAGATCTTTGTGATTTATTATCATCCATCATCATACAAGGAGTGGAACATTCTACACCAGTAATTGATTTACCCAATGCTTGCCAATAAACTGAACTACGTAATGCATCTCTATGTACAGCATTTTGTAAACGATCTGCATCTTCATTCTTTTTTTTTTTCAAGTGTGTTTATTGAAAAAGAAAAAACAAGACAAGACAAGACAAGACAAGATTAGAAGAACAGGAGAAAATGATTACCATGTATAAAAGAGATGAAACTCTCTAATTCAAAACAGTTGTAAAATGTGCTCGTTCTAATAGTGACTAGTTTCGTGAGTAAATTCTGGGAGTTCTTTAGTGAGAAGTCGTGTGATCAATGGAATTCAACCGTGTTCGGGTGTAGACAGTAACTATCAGTGATAAATGGGTCAGATCGCGGAAAAATCTGTAGATTGATCAGAGTTAGACATTAACACTGTTGGATGTTAGCCCAAAGGTTGAGTGTTCGCACGCAAGACCAAAGGTCTCGGGGTTCGAATCCTGTGGGGGGGGGGGCAGGAGTCATGGATTCGCACTGCTGATGAGCACCATACCAGGACGAAATGGCTTTCCATTGCTTCTAGGTTTCTGATGGTGGTCTAACAATGATTGGTGGATGAATTCAATGTGCAACCAACACTAATCTCTGTAACTCTAGTTAATAAATAGTGAATATACATGAATTCATGCGTAGTTTGTGTTAAACGTTCTTCTGATCAACTGCTTATAACCATGTAGTATTTTGAAAAAAGTACCATCATTACAAATTAGATTTAAAACTGTTGACTTGAACGGTTGCAGGTTGGAAGTTGTTATCATTGTTACATATCAGTGTAGCCTATCTACATAGTATGGGGTGTAAATAATTTTTATAGACTGAATAAAAAACCGAGGGTCCCTGAGTTGGATTTCCACGTGCTTTAGAGATCGGGTTTCGTTTGTGCGTTCGCTTGGTCTTCGACTCAGCTTTTCTTTTGTTAGCTCACTTATCCAGTTCTGGTGGGCTGATTGTTTTGGTTCTGAAGCTTTCAACATTGTTCATCTCAACAACATTATCAACACAAACTTCAAGTAGAAAGAAAGTATTCGAATCTCTCCAAGTACGGCTCGTAGTTGGTTCTGTTGACCCTGAGTCGTAAGTGGCGAAATTCGAATCATTCACTTCTACCTGAAGTTTGTGCTGATAATAAAAGCTCCATAGCCGAAAACATCCAGCTCAGAGAGAACGAAACTCCACCTGAGCTACGAATTATCTTCACCATCTAAATTTCCTCTTACGGGGATCGAGGTTACGCACTTCTGAGGAGTAGTCCCATACTAGAACGAAACGGCCGTCCAGCTGCTTCTTACTAGGTTTTTAATGATGCTCTAGCTTTGATTAATTGATGATTTCAACAAGATTTCACAAATCTGTAATTACAACAACCGATCCCTTGAAAATAATACAATGCTGATTATTTTTCAACTGATTATAGCACTATACGTAGCTAAAGTTCCAGCTATCAAGGTTGTGAGAGTAAAACTTCATTTAGGAATGGCTATTTATACTTCTAGAAAGAACAGTCCATTTTTAAGGGCTTAGAAGCATACCACTTCAAAATGATATGGTAGTAGGGGACCCCCTATGGATCTTGGTGTGTAGGCATTGCACCAGGGGTGAGTATGCGTCACATGCATACTGGTAATACATAATATACTTTCATCCATACTCATCCAGGGACAGGTATAGACTATATGCATACTGGTGACATACAAGTTTCATTCATGCATCCCTTAAAGGACAAGTGATAACTATACCACTTTGGGAAGGTAGATGGTCGTTACTTCCACGAATCCAGCTGCAACAACACACTGCCACTCATGCATCAAATACTTATCATTATTTATCATAAAACCAAAGAAGTTATATTTATGTTGTTCTCTGTACATTACAATTAATACTTTTGCTATAACATAACAGAAAAGTATTTATTTGCATGAAAAGAATTTAGTTACTTATAAGTAAGCAATTTAATATAATGAAAAAAGTCATACGAAGCGTCTGATTTGTGGTTATGTAATCACTTTTGCTAGATAGAAGTATGTATCTCTTACAAATAGTAAAATAGAACGAAACACCCATCACAGATTACATTAATAATCACTATATATTTCTTTAATAACTGTAATTAATGATTAATACAGTGGTCATACAGAATTGTAGTAATGGGTATTATGCTGGCAGATACGTTTTTGGTTATCTCATTTTTTCTGCAAATTAAGGTTTAGGAAATATGCATATTTATATAAAATGATGCTGATGTGAAGGCACGGATCGGCAAAGTGAAGGCAGAGTTCCAACAAATGAAGAACATCTGGAACTCAAAACAACCATCAACCAACACCAAAGTCAGAATTCTTAATACAAGTGTCAAGACAGTTCTACTGTATGGGGGCGGAAACATGGAAAACTACCAAATATATCAGCCGGAAGATACAAGTGTGTTTATTAACAGTGTGAGAGAACAAACCAGATTCCAGTTGAGGAAGGGATCCGGAAGAAGCACTGGATGTGGATAGGACACAGACACATTGAGGAAAGCACCCAACTGTATCACAAGACAAGAGCTCACTTGGGACCCTCAAGCTTAGAGGAAAAGAGAAAGGTCAAAGAACACATTACACCGAGAAATGGAGACATACATGAGAAGGACGAACGAAAATTGCACAGAAATGGAAAAGAAGGCCCAAGTTCGAGTAAGTTGAAGAATTTCGATCAGCGGCCTTTTCTCCATTGGAGTAATGGGAGTGAGTAAATTCAACGTGAGTACAGAATGACAGTACTTCTGTCTGTAAAGCTGAATGATACAAGCTTGAACTGACAAACAGAGAGTATCAATCCCCTAAGACTTTCAAGGGTGTAATTCTTCTTGACTCATGTCTACCACAATGAAACTTGAGTGGAAGAGGATTTCTTTGCACATAGACATGTTTTTATTCAAGTTGATGTACATTTTTGTTCAGCTGAAATTGAGGTGTTGTAGTATTCATAACTTACAGTTTATGCATTGAAACGAAAAATATTTCAACACAGACAAATCGATTAATTACACATTTTCGAAAAACCATGAATCGATGAGTGTTAGACCAACACCATTAGACAAACCTGGAAGCACTGGACGGACGTCTCGTCCTGGTATGGGACTCCTCAGCAATAGTGCGCATTCACGACTCCTGCACCCCGCAGGGTTCGAACCCAGGACCTTCGGCTTTGTAGGCGGATTCCTAACCATCGAACCACCGAGCCGACATCTAACGGTATTAATGTCTAATCTTCACAACCCAGTAATGCAAATTAATTAATTAACAGGAAAAAAAAATTCTTTTTAACTAACTTACTTGATTTCTTTCAATTTCACCTAATTTTTCTGTTAATTGCGCCAGTTTTTCTTTTAATGATGAATTTTCTAATGCCTTTAAAGAAAAAGAAAACAGAAAAAGAGACAAATGTGAATTCAATGTTCAATTGTCGTATTGAACAATGATCAATAGCAAGTCTGTTTGGAATTGGTGAATTTTCCCCAACGAAACAAATTTATTTCAACACCACAGCAAAGTTTATTATTAGTCATAAGACACACAATAGATAGAAGAAACATTTTTCTGTGTATGAACACACCAGTTAAGTATTCGATGCCATAACAACATAGGATTGCTTATATCAATGTGTTTAGAAGAGAGTATGAATATGATTGACACTTGAAAATTACGTTAAAATGTCTTGATGGAAGGAATACGATGAAAATCAGATGATGATGTTTCTGAAAGTTGAACACATCGATCAAGTATCAATCGACCGATTATGTATGGAAATCGATCATATCCGTCATCCAAGTAAATTATCCAGTCCAGTAAACACAACACCTCCATAGCACCCATATGATGAACTACAAATGTTCTTTGGAACTACTCAAATTTCGTAGATTTTAACGAAAAGATGGTTTGAGTAGGAAAAACTTCACGAAATATCAAATATTTGGAGGTATGGTAATCAGTACAATTTTTCTGATCAGTTGGACATTTCCACATATGCCGTATTTGTCAACCTACATTGAAGAGGTTAACCAATCAGATTGCTAGAGGTCGACCCAGTAATACAGTCAACTTGAATGCCAGGATCACTGAATTTTCCTGTTGAAATCACGAATCCATTACCATTAGGAACTCGGAAACAATGAACAACCGTTCTATCCTGGCATTCACGAACCCTTCCCGCAGGAACTGGACTCAGTACCGTTGGTCTCGCACTCGAACTCTTAATCTCCACACCAGTGAGTCAGTATCCTGTGGTGTTAAGAATGAACTTTGATCTATCTACGGATTTTGTGTAGCCTAACCTATTGTCCTGTGTAGTTAATATCTACATCTAACTTCAGTCCACTGGTCACAGCTCCAATAGAAACATCATATGTTGTCTTCAGGAATTTTATCAACTTCAGATATTCATTATAGTGTTATGAATATCTGAAGTTGATAAAATTCCTGAAGACAACATATGAAGTAAACTCTTATCATGTTGTTGATAGTTGTAACAAAGAAAACTTTACAATTAAATCAATGAGTTCATCAAAAGTTTTCTTTAACTTATCATTACCAGTGTTACAGAAGTATCAACATTTACACACTGTTGATTCAAGTATACAGTTGTAGAGATTGTTGAGTTCTATTCGAATCACAAACTATGTGAGGTGTTGGTTGTAAGATTTGCGCTACTCAAGTGTACCATGTTAGGATGAAATGGACGTTCAGGGATTCGGGATTTTCGATGATGGTATTATAACACTGATCGCTTCATGATTTTGATGAAACTCTAAAACCATATATACTGACTAATATTGTAGGCTTATTAGTGACTAGTTTTATGAGAGAATTATTAGAATTCCAGTGGAGTTCCACTGTGTCGGATGTGGAGCAGTTACCCACTGAAGACAATAGGAAATGGTGGTGCAATATTGTAGACTGACTGTGGTTAGATATTAACACTGGCTAGATGGTGATCGGTTTAAGTGTTAGCGCTCCAGACGCTGATACCTCTAGGTTTAATTCGCATATATGGGGCAGTGGATAAACATCGCGGAGGCATCCCACACTAAGATGACATAGCTGTCCAATGTTTCCAGGTTTCCAATGCTATCTGAAATGCCGGTAACAGCTTATATATATGATTATTTCAGACTATTAAAAACACTTGTTATAAATCAGAAATTTCCAATTAGCATTTTAAGCTATGCATCATAATAACATTCACTAAAAAATGAACATGAGATACGAACGAGTGAGTACACAGGAAACCCAACAAACAAATATGCATAGATCAATAAATGAGGTAGTAAGACGACCGTGGTGGTGTTTCGTCCTCGCTCAGCTGGAGTCGTTTTGATTGTGGAGATTTCATCACTGTTCTTCTGCTGAACAACACCATCAGCACAAATTTCAGATTTCTATCTGAAGCTTTTGATGCTGATATTGTTCAGCAGAAGAACGGCGATCAAATCTCCACAATCAAAACATCTCCAGCTTAGCGAGGACGAAACACCAACACAATCGTCAATCACCTGAACTACAAATTTTCCCCACCATCTCACTAAGAAGACCTTCAACCAGTTATCGATCACAGTCCTCACATAATCCATCTTTTCCTATATACATTGATTTGATAATCACATGTACAGATGATAACCACTTCACTAATATAATTTTACAATATAATTGAACTTCCGAAATCTAAATAAAGAAGTAAGTAGTAGGCTACTCCTAATAATCATACCCAACTTGTACCTACTACTAACAATGAAAAATTTAAGTAGACACTAAATGTTTTTGATTCAACAAGTTAGGGACCTCACCAACTACTACTACTACTACTACTGATGGTGGTCTCCATGCTGTTGTTGTTTCAGAGTTATTTGTTAGCAGTAAAAAATGTGTTTCTCTGTTCTACAGGGAAAAAATAAAAAACTAGTCAAAATCAATAATTCATTTGAAAACATCAGTCAACATTATTGACCAAAATGGAAAAATATTATACTACATTACAGTCTTCTTCATTAAAGCTATTGTTTTCAATGATACTGTAAAATGCAGGAAGATTACGTGCATATACTTACTAAGTACTAAGCACTACTATTACTACTGCTACTATTAATATCTATCTATCATTTCATAAATATTTAATGAGAAGCCTAGGGAGAAAATTTATTTTTGATTTTCTGTAAAATTGATTTCCATTTGGTTTTAATGCATCATTTGTAAATAATATTAGACATTGAAATCTACATCTAAGTTGAAAAAATTAAACATTGAAGAGAATATTTGATTGGATTTTAAATAAAATATATCTAATCTACTACTCTCTGAGAGATTGTTTTTTGTGTGAGTGTGTTTGTGACTTATTGGAGCTGTGGTGCGAGCTACTTATAAGTAGTATATGACGTGAGTGTCAACGTAATGTCTGGCAGCAGAAGATGGGGGAAAGAACAAGAAAGAAAGAGTTAGAACACAATGGAATTTGTATGAAACGCATGAATAGTGACAATGAATTGTTGATGTTTTGCAACAGGAACCATCCAGTTCGATATGATGAACTGATATTTTGCAAATGAACGATTTATGATGTGGTTTTCCAATTTTACTGAGTAACTCTGTACTATTCGTTAAATACAATTCGTTTGCCCCACCTGTGTTCTCGTTCACTGCAGAGCGAGTGGTTGATCAATGTACAATGTTGATGTGTGTATGTATGTGTGTGAACACATTTTGTTTAAAGTTTGTTCTTGAACATAAACTAACATTATGATTGGAAAATATGTAGAAAAAAAGCCTTAAAAAAAGAGGTTGACAAATGTTTGATACTACTTATTACTTATTAAACTTCAATGATGTGCGGCAGTCGGTAAGTAGAATGATGGTATCTCAAAGATTGAATTCAATTGGAAAATTGAACCGATTCAGTTGGTTAAAAGTACTACAATAACGAACTGTTGGAGGATTAGATCTTTAACATGAAACTTTAAAGGTTTGTGAATATTCAAGATGAACCTCATCTTCAAAGGAGACAAAGTCGTTTAGAAGACATTATTACTTTGTCTAAAAAAAGTTTCATAAATTCTTGATATCGATCGAGTTTAATTCTTGTTATCATAATTAAATTTGGTTAGATTGTACTCGGTTGTAGACTAATGAGCAAACTGAACGAAAGTTAAAGGCAGACATGAAGATATTGAATGGCAGTTAAGTAGAACTGGAAAAAAAAGCTCGAGACAGAGTATATCCGAGAATGTTGGTCGGCGGCTTAGTATCTATTGGGGTTAACAGGTGTAAGTATTAGTATGTAAGTGGAGTTTGACCGTGTTGAGTGTGATGCAGTTACGCATTAAACACATTCGGAGATAGTTGCATGATTTTTTTGGATTGAGTGAAGTTCAACATTTACATCGTTGAATGTCGACTATACAGTCTCGTGATTAAGTGTTTATGTGTGAAACTGAAGTTCCTTGGCTTGATCGATTTATTTTGAGTGGTCGTGGGTGCACATTAGTTAGTTGTCTCATACTGCAACAAAACAGCCTTTCAATCATTCCAGATAATTCAAGCTTGTCAAACATTGATTGATTGACTCATGGTTTCAATAAATACATTCTTTGATGTGACAAGTATAATTAAGTATTTATGTTATAATATTTCACTTTTTAATGTTGATTAGACAGCAGCCAATGATAACATCATAGAACCAGAAAGCGCGAGATAGTTGTTTCAATTTATTATAGGACTCCTCCTAAGTAGTTTATATTCACACTTCTACTGAAAATAAAACAAAGTAGCTCCAGCCCTCATGGTGGGCGTCTAGCGTTTAAACTAATGAATTTACACTTTCTTATTATTAACTTGTTTACGCCTGTCATCTCTTGTGGAGCAAAGGTCACCTACTACTTGCGATCTCCAGCATACTCTGTCCTGCACCAGTCCTTTCCAGTTTTTAACAAGTGCTAATCATGCTTTTGATGTCTACCTTCAATTCCTGATGCAGTGTGTTCTTCGGTCTGCCTCTTCTCTTCTGACCTTAGGGAGTTCAAGTTAGAGCTTGCCTCATTCCACAGTTGAGTGATTTCTGCAGAATGTGTCCAATCCACTTTCAACCTCTATTCCTCATTATTCCCTCTGCTAGAAGCTAACTTGTTCTCTGCCATAGAGGGTTGTTGTTGATGGTATCTGGTATACAGATCCGAAGTATTTTATCTACGCAATTGTTTACAGATACTTGTACCTTTTGAATGATGGCTTTGATAATTCTCCAAGTTTCAACTGCTTACAATAGAATTTCCTTAGTGTTCGTTTTGAAAACAGTGACTTTGGTATTTTCTGACAGAGGGTTGGTGCGATTCCCATTGCTTTAAAATCCATGCCTCATTGTCTGC